TATATATATATATATATATACACATACATATATATATACACACACACATACATATATATATGTGTGTGTGGGTGTGCGCGCGCGCGCGAGTGTGTGTGTGTGCGCGCGCGCGCGCGCGCGCGAGTGTGTGTAAATATATGTGTGTGTGTGCGCGCGCGCGAGAATCTTAGTAACTGAATATATTTCTTATGTAAGTATCCTCAACTAAATATGCATATAGATAGGGCTGCCAACTTGTCCCGTTGTTCGCGAACACCTCTTACTAGGTTTGTTAAGTAGCTCATGAAGATTTTTTTGTGCTCTATTTATAAATGAGTCGAACACAAATAATGATATTTTTTAAAGACCTAAACGTGAGTCGAGTCCGAGCACTCTCAAATTCGGCTAGCTAACACTGCCAACTGATCATTAGTGCAAATATTACACCCCAAGCTTTAAGCTATACTGCATGCTGCATCAATCTCTCTTCCCCTTCCTACACAACCCAGCCCTCCAATCACCTGCTCTCTTTTCATCGATTGACTTTAATCTTCTCAATTATTTTCTTGCCCACTTTCATCTGCTCTATTGTTGATAAGCTACCAACCATATCAAACCATACTGATGGCCAACTTCAATTAATCATTTGCAAAAACCATGGCAACCATCCTTCCAAGACGCTACCTTCACAATCCTTCCCACCTCCCATCAATTGATGATATGTTCCTACTATATATATATATATATATATATATATATATAAAAAAAAAGCAATAGACATAGAAGAATAAGAAAAAAAGAAATAAGGAGGAAAGAGGAGGAAAGAAGTGATCTAAAATTTGAGAAGTTTGTTTGGTATGACAAACTCATAGCAATTTTACCTCAAATTCATTATCAACAATCCTCTTTGGGTGTAAATATATGAGATTCAAGCAACCATGCCATCACATTAAGTGCATGCAAGTGTATTTTTAATGTATTTGAGAAAGCATTTTATATGCTTGTATGTGTTTGGTATAGGTATCGAAGCTCATAAATTTCTTTATTGTTGTGATGGAAAAACTTTGTTATCTATATATCTCTTATCATGTTCCCAAAGCTAAACATCAAGAGTTTGAAGAAATTGTTTGTGCTGTCTTAGCCATTGTTCATATATAATTTTGTAAGCATGGTAGACTGGCCTAACACTTTTGAAAATACATATTGCGTGAGAGAGACATTGAATATTGCCAAAATTTGGAATAATGAGATTTAAATGGAACAAAATTAAAACTAGCACTCTAAATAAATATGAAACATTTAAATAAAAGAAGCAAAATGTAAAATTATAAATAAAATGTAGAAAGAGAACATAAATTGAGAATAAAAATTGAGTGCAGACAAAATTTATAGAGGACTTAGTAGCTCTCTTACGAGCATGAATAGTACATTTTTCTTCATCCAAAAGTATCATATAAGGAGAATATGTGATACAATAATGACAATAAGTATTTACTCTACTAAGTGGGGTCAACAATTTTAATTATTTTTCTATAGTGTGTTATACTGAGTGTCATATTTTCATTTAATTCAAAAAAATTAATTAAAAATAAGCTCATAAATAATATTGACTTGTCATCATCTGACATGAATCTTAAGGCATGCACACGTATATCGAGGCAATTTTTTAGTCATAAATGTTGGAACTTCGATTAAAAATCATTTAGAACTACAATTTTAGCAAAATTACAGCCAAACTGATCGACTCAACGAGTGGACCCAAAGATGTCAAAATTGGTTCAATCTAAGTCAAATCAAGATAAGATCAAGTCATTAAACCACTTTTGAGAGCTTTATGGGCTTAATTTGAAGGGAAAATGAATTCAAAATATGACATGCTTATATTTAAATTGAGCATCTCGAGAAGATGAATACAATGAGCCCAAGATCTCCCAATTCCCCCATCATTAAGAAAATAAAAATGCCCATCAAAATAGGGCCCTACCCCTCTCATGAGAGGGGACCTATACATTGGGCTAGAGAGAGCTGCAGCCTAGCATCTTGCACTGCATATCCGACAAACTCTGGTCGCTGCCTCCTTCGATCTCCACCACCACATGCCCCTGCTGTCGCTTTTGACCGCGGTCACCGCTTCCAGCTATTGTCACCGCTTTCGCTTGTTGCTGCCTCTTCGACCCAATCTGGGCATTGCCTCCTCCAGCCGACTCAGTCTAACTGCCGACCACCGTCAACCACCATAGACACCACCCTCTTCGTACAACAATGCAACAAGTGCTTATTAGCATAAATGTTGTAATCTGATAAACTGTGTAATCCTTTTCCTCCTGTGGGACAGTAGACATTCCTGTAATCATCAACTCATAGCGGAATATTTCAATTTAACAAGACCTTGTAGTTTTTTATCTTTCTGGTTTTTTCATGTAAAAACTTCTCATATCCATATTAATTGTCTTTCTTCTTCTGAGCATGTGTTGGTTTCTCATATAATAATAAGACAATAATTCATTGATTTACTACTTCGAATATTGCTATCATGCATTAAATATAATGTTCACTAAGATAATTGAATAAAAATAAACTGATAAATGCCTTAGATTTATAACCAAATGATAATTCCTATGATGTCCACTGAGATAAAATATGAGCTATAATCAAGCAAAAAACATAATTCTCAGCACATTAGAACTCCGAACACTTTCAATTAGATTAGCTAGTAAGAATGTGCTAGCATAACTCAAAATGAAAAATTGTACATATTTTATTGAAACACGCACACACGCATGTGATTTCAGTGTCAAAATTTAAAAGTTAGAATAATTCAAGCACAAAATAAGATGAACTTAAATTTACTATTTCTTGAGAATCGTATAACTATTTTATAAAATTGTGCAGTTATTCTAACATTTAGAGGCACTCTTTTAAACTCATATTAATTCATTTTTATATTGAATGTATGCTTTTGAGTGGAATGCCTTGCTGAACAATGGGATCTTGTATCTTATATTTAAAGTTTGAATATCTACATCTATAAATATCAATATTGAATCCTTTTAGGATATAGGATCATGTGTTGCTAATGAGGACAGAGAATCCGGTAAAGACCCAATAACATAGAGAAGAAGGTGGGAAGAAGAAAGAGGTAGATGGATGAAATTTCCTGGAACGAGCTTGGAGAATACATACATGGCTAATAGCCAGAGGAACAATTTCTTCTAAAATTCATTTTGTTACTAAATTTTAGGAAAAAAAAGTTCTTCCAGAGCCAGAACCAGAGGAAGGATCCCTACAGAGAGGAGCTCCCTCCTCTTTTATACCGAAAGGGCCAACATAATAAAATAATTGACATCGTATCATTTGCTTCCTTTCCTCAGTGCACTCTGCTGACAATTTTAATGTGAATGGAATTCGTAGCCATCATAGCCCTTAAGCTGTCAGATTTGGTTAGTACGACAACTATCTATGGTATCTTCAGAAGACTTTTGTTATAAATGCTTGATGACATCCTTAATGAAGGATTGATAGGCCTATCCATCAGTCACACCGATTTCTTCTGATGATTGACTTTCTTGTGGTGATTTCAATTCAGCCATCCTAACTGGTGGGCTAAGTTCAACCACTTTGACAAATGGGCTCAGTTCAACCACTTTGGCAGATGAGCTCAGTTCAACCACTTCAATAAGTTGATAGGCGAGCTCCGTTCCTTTAGGATCGAATCTCACTATATTCCCCTATTTGTTTATACAACTAGAACTGACAACATTTGAGGGCTTGTGAAAAACTATTTATGAAATAAATTTAAAATTTTTGCAATAAAAATATTTTTATATGACAAGTTTACTTCTAGAAACGTGTACCATCACTATCCTCTGAATCAAATATTTAATTTTAAACTTTGCTTGAATTTATTTTTTATATTTATATAAGACCTTCAAAGCCTCTTATAAAAAAATCATTTTAAATTTACAAACTTTGAATGACATACATGTATGATACTTTCATGAGTTAAAATCTTCAAACTCAATCTTCTGCATATGGCGATAAATATGAAAATATCTAAAAGATAACAAGTGTTCAAATGTATTTAAATGAAATGTAATAATGAACCTAATCCCTTATAGGAAAGCAAGCAAAATCAACAATGGTCAAAATAATAAAGCTTAGTTACATAAAAATTCTTATATGGTATGCTCCGTGCGCATCGCCATGGGACTCTATAGAAAATAAAGAGAGAGAAAAAAAAAAGCTAATCTCTCAAATTATAAAGACATGTATCTTCAACTAATTTATCCATATAAATGGCATGGCTATTACAAGTTCTAATTGGAGGAGTTTCTCATCAAAATCAGGCTTCCATTTTCATTGACAAATGTATAGAATAACCTTTTATTTTAATGATTGCATTGAAATAAAATAGTGGTTTAAGGGGATACTAATATAAGAACGTTCCCAAATTTTTAAGATAAATAACTCATAGCAACTAATAGTCTTATTTTATTAATTTAGATAGATTGCTTTCTCTTTTGAAGTAGATCAAAGTCTATGAGAACTCTAAATGACTTCTGATATCTTAATTCGATTCATGATCATTCATCATTTTCTTCAAGCTAATAATGATATATCTGTTATTAAAACTAAATTGCTAGTTTCATAAGCTATTAATTTAGCGACAATTAATTAATGCCTAGACACTTTCAACGAAATGTTGAGCATAAATTTTAAGGAATACATTAAACAAAATTTGAACCGTGCTCAAGATGCTTAGAATAAAGTTTAAAAAAAATTGTTAGATTTTATGTTTAAATAAAGCTAGAATAAGCATATAATACAACATCCTTTAAGCATCATACAATTTTAAGAAGTTCAACGAGTAGTAGGTCTCCATCCAAATCACTTCAATTAAATATAAAGCATATAAATCACCACACAATCACTTAGACGATTTGATAATACATTATTCAAACTATTAAAATGATTATGAAATTAAAAATGAAAATGCATGGAAGTGTATGGAATAGTTCTGAATGGTGAAATGATTACACATAGTGTTTTAACACGAAATACTTTGGAAAGGGAAGCAGACATCTTAGGGTCATTTACGTCCGACTAAAACTTTTTGGCTTATTTCTTCAAATAATATCAGGTAGATTTCTCAACTAAAATTATTACAGGTCATGTAAACTTAGTTTCATATATAAATCAACTTATACTTTTAAAAAATAATATAATATCTTAATATAATCAAAATTATTATAGATTTTTTTTCTTAAATTTTGAAATGTTTAGCTTAACTATGGTATAATTAACACAAATCATGGCATAATTAACACAACTTATCATAATCTTTTGACATGAATTTAGAATTTCAACTTAGAAGTCTTGGGGGTAATTCAAGTTCTGGTATAAAAAATTACAAAAAAAAGAACTCTAATGTATATTTACTTGTAAGCAGAAGCATGATCGTGTAAATATTACGAATCTAAATTTAGGAAATTTTGAGACAATTTAATCTTGAAATTATTTGATATTATAGAGGTTAAATTCGACTAAATCTTACTGAGTTATTTGGCCACTTATCTCAATATTTAATTTTGTTATCTTAGGTAGAATTTTAGTCAATATTTTTAACAATTAATATTAATTATTAAAGCTAAAATATTTTTAGATTGATATATTTATATTTTATTATGAACCTCCTCTTCTATTATTTGATATTAACTTATCACAGCTTAGTTAGCATAAGATAACATCTCCATTAATTGTTACCTGATGATAACCATGCCAATTAAATAACGATTTAATTTTAATTAAATTATATATAAAAATAAGTTTAATAAGCAAATAAATCAATAGTTTCTTTTTAGTAAAATCACACAATTTAAATTACAAGTAAAATGACACATTATTTTAATAAATAATTAATTTAGAATTTATAATATTAACAAATAGAAAACATTTTTTTTATTTAAATCAAATCTTAAATAGTATGAATTGATTTATTTTGTTAACTTTTAAAATAATTAATTTTATTTATTAAACTTAATTTCAAAAAAATTGTATTTAAAAAACTTACTATCGTTCGTCCCCCCAAAACGTCTCCCATCCCTCTGCAACTCGAAACCCTCGAACTCGAAAGAAGCGCGAGGGAGATCCTGCACCATTCGACGGAGCAAAACAGGCGTGGGAGTCGCGAGCGGGATTACTCGCAACCCTGCCGAAATAGAAGGGAGGAAGTCGCGGAGGGAGCTCGCTGGGGAAGGCAAGGTTTTCCGTTTCTGTTCGTAGTAAATCCTTTAAATCCGATACGAGATACACCACTAGAGCTATCTGAGAAGACAAGGACGGGATATTGGCGTACAAAGACCACTGAAACTCCCATCTTTCTCCTCCTTCTGCTCCGTTCTTATCCGAAACCATTGCGAAAGGTAATAGCGTCTTTCTTCTCTTCCTCTTTGTGCGTTTCTGGATTTACTTATACTAAATTCTGGATTTAAGCTGAAAATGGGCGAAATCTGAACTTATAAAGCCGGAGATTTAGGTGCTGTTTCGTACAGTCTTTTAAGTAGGATTTATCCCTGATCTACGATAAATTCAGTCAGACTGCAAAATTCGCATTCATAAATCGGGCCATTTTACGGATTTAACGAATTTGGGTGAGAGCAGATTTAGGTGAAAGGCGAAACACTCTCCCCTTTGATCATTCATCCAAGAAAAGCACTACCCAGCAAGTGTGCAAGGGCTCACCTCCAGCAGCCTAGACGTTGGTCGATCTACCTCCAGTCGTCCAATATGGGCTCCTCAAGCAAGCACTGGTTTGCCGCAGTTTACCCCAGTCTTGCCTAGTATATCTTCAATCTGATGCATTTCCTGACCAGAAATTTACCTTCTAAAACTTTATCCTTCAAAATATAATTCTGTGAGATCTAGGCATTCTAAAACTTTTTTCTTTCTTTTTACGCCATTCCAGTAAAACATTAACTTTTCTTCCTACTTGAGATTACAATCAATCAGTAGATTGAAGAAAGCCCCATTGTTTTATTATATATGAATGCATCCACTATATATATGTTAATTTATTCACTAGAACAAACATAAGATGTGTTGCATCAAATAAGGAATAGTTAGTGTCAAGTTCCCTTGCCATCACCATAGAAAATTTTCCCAGTACCAATTTTTTCTTGAATCCTAAAGTGTGTATCTCATATATGCACCAACAGATTTAAATCATGAAATAAGTTACCAAACTTTCATACGATTTAACAAAAAGTTAACATTTTTTATACCAAGCAATCTTCAAAATTGAACCACCTCATGAGTTAATTAATTTAGATTTACAGATCTATTAAATCCTATTAAAATTATTTTTTTTTGTAGCCAAACAATCCCTTAAGATGTCCAAAATTACCATATGGAAGGATTTATATTAAATCCCATTTAAATCCTCCCCCCATTACCAAGTTGCTTCTACTCTTGCTTAAACGTGCTACCAAAAAACCAACGAATTCTTGCTTACTCCGTAAGACCAACCTGTGCTACTCTCCTGGTCACTCTTCTTTTCTCGCTCCCGCTTCGCTCTTCAATTGACATCAGCTTGGTCTGAGGACTGTTGATAAGCTCTAGTCGGTTCTCTACTCTTCGCATTGATTTTCCCCACGTGGGTCGATATCTCCTTGCCCTTCCTCCTTTCAAGCTACCAATCCTCTCACTTTCTACCATCCACCTTGCTGCCACTCTTTAAGGTAAATCTCACATTTCTCGTCTATGCTTCTCATTACTTTTTCTAACCATATGTAGATGTTCAGATATGTTAATGATTTGAATTTAATGTACAAAATTAAAATTCCTATATTTGCAATGAACATGTGGCGGTATAGAGATAGAAAAAGGCTCTATTTTTAACCATATGGAGCGTCTCATACTATCACATCACTTGCCAACATAATTGCTAAGTATATTTTGTAATCTGTCTTATTTTTGTTTTGTCCTACCATTCTTCCACTGTGGAAGTTGTTATTTGTTAATATTCTATTACAACGTTTAAAATTATGATGGAACGATTTTTGACAATGGTTAATAATGGCCATACGAAAAATAAATTTATTGTAATTATTATTCTATAAAAGGGCCTAAGTAGGAGTAATCATGACATTGATGGGTGTATTTCGTTTGTTGTCTTGTGAGGAGGTCAACTAGGGGTGTAATAAATGACCCGCCCAAACAAACACATTTGGACCCAACCCAACTTGAAAATTTTGTGGTTTGGTTAATTTGATTATTATTTAGGTTGGATTTTGAGTGACTCAAAAAACTTAAAATTAACTAAATCACTTGTTGGTTCGAGTTAGGCGGGTTTTGGTTGGTTTATTCGATTTAACCAGTCATGCTAAGTTTAATTATATCATGTTAATGCAGAAAAATCATATGATTCATATAATAAATGCCAATTAGGAAGGACGGAAATCAGACAGCTCCATTAGGAGTTTTCTATAATTAGGAGCTTCCTTATTTAAATTATTTCCATTGTCTTTATTTTGATTTATTTCCCTTTTAGTGAATATGTATTTACCTAAAATAGATTATGCACTTTATTTTGTACCTAAAATAGATTGTAAGATTATTATTTAATGGAATGAAAGCAAAGGGAAAATGCATCGAGCCTATTCGGAATTCAACCTATTTTTCTCAAAACTTTGACATGGTATCAGAGCCAAATTTTTGTCATAACCACCGATAGTTGTTGGAGTACCGTCAAGGCTCCATTCCCGCTAGCCTTCTTGCATGACTATTTCTTTGTCTTGATTCTCGTTCGTCTGCTCGTCGTCTCATTATTTCTCATCTTTGTTCTACTTCGTCTTCCTCTTCGACTTGATCAGTCTCGACAGAGCCTCTCCTTCGTTATCGTTATGAATCTCTTCGTCTTTATATCATGACTGCTTCCGATGTTGAATTTTGTCTATTCATCGGCGGTCTCTCCTGGTCAACGGACGACAAATCACTACAGAGCGCCTTCAACACCTCCGACTTCATCTGCTTTAGATCCCCTTCGCTAGCCATCACTGTTTTTGCGGCATATTTGACAGCTTCTTCCACTTCGGTTTCGTCCGCTTTGAATTCGGCTTTTTCGTCGCATTCAAGTATTGAAGGCTTCAACACTCCTTCATAGACCGACGACTTCGGTTTGCGTAAATCCTAGATTTTCGGCTTCGACACTCACAACTTCGACATTCTCGAATTCGACACTCACGACTTAGACACTCTCGGCTTCGACACTCACGACTTCGGCATCTCGACTTCAACACTTTAGGCTTGAAGATCAGGAAACAAATCTTCCTCGTCGTTGCAGGAAGAATCAGTAGCATTTGGATCAGGACGTGGATCCTACTTGTAGGCTATGATTGATAGCATTTGGATCGTGTAACTGGATTCTTCTATTTGTGGGCTATGTATGATCAGTAGCATCTGGATTAGGATGCAAATCCTACTTGTAGGCTATGATCGATATCATCTGAATAATGTAACTTGATTCTATTTGTAGGCTATGATCAGTAGCATCTGGATCAGGATGCGGATTCTACTTGTAGGCTATGATCGATAGCATCTGGACCGAGTAACTGGATCCTGTTTGTGGACTTATGATCTATAGCATCTGGATCTTGTAACTGCACGCAAATCCTTCTTGTGGCTATGATTCGAATTTCTGGACGGCGAAGATAGGATTTCTTGCTTTTATTTGCTCAAATCATGTTATGGTTTAAGAGTTGTTTCTGCGGCTTCGACATTCTTGGCTTAGACACCTTTGGCTTCGACACTTACGGCTTGAGGATTTTTGGTCCCGACAGTGTTATCAATTTCTTGTTGGCAAATTGATACTTCCTGATCAGTCAGCATCAATTTGAGGGGGAATGCCAATCAGGAATGAAATAAATTAGACAGCTACATTAGGAGCTTCCTTAGTTAAATTATTTTCATCATCTTTATTCTGATTTATTTCCCTTTTTGCTGAACATTTAAATTAGGAATATGTATTATTAAGTTACCTAAAATAGATTATGCACTTTATTTTGTACCTAAAATAGATTGCAAGATTATTATTTAATGAAATGAAAGCGAAGGGAAAATGCATCGAGCCTATTCAGAATTCAGCCTATTTTTCTCTAAACTTTGAGACAATAAATAGATTAGATGTGTTGGGTCAGATTTAGGCACCTTTAATCAATGGGTTAGGTTCCAGTCAAGCTTATGTAGGTCAAGCTATTTTTTGAGTTTGACTCAAACCAACCACTCGACGGGTCCCTCATAACGCCCTTGGTTGTTAGTAGTTAGGGAAAGTTTCTACATGTGTCAGAAGTCATTTCATTAAGCATTGGTCTAAAACCTCAAACATGCCAACCATGATTAAATTTGTTCATGATTCAGTCGACACGACTAAAATTTTCAATTGTTTTGACGATTGCCTTGCTTATTTAATACAAGATGGAATATCTACCTTTAGTGTATTAAGTGATTTGCTCAATTAATCCTGATGAATTGACTTTCAAATGGTGAATACTTGACTCTTTGTTAAGGATTTTAGCATATTAACAACACAGAGATATCTCTTGATCCATTTGAAGAGTAATCTCTCTCTTACCTCTATATTATTTTATTTGTAACTCTTCCCCTCTCTTAGGAAGATTATTGTGTAACGCTGATACTCATATTCTGTTTCTTTCGAATGGTGAGTACTCTCTCTACTTGCCCCATAGTGGACGGAAGTCACTCAAGCAGATTACTCTAAACACTATGCCTATTTTTATGATTGTTCCCTCCTTGTTGCTTCCTGGGGTAATTCAGGCACAGCCTTTTCCAAATCTCAACTCTTTATATGGATGCTCATTGTATTTGGAATGATGAGATTATGCCTTCCACGCTAGAAATTCTCGAATGCGGAATGCGTATAACCGGACATTTTTCATGGTCTACTTGCACAACTTGGGCTTTTCAATTGTCGGAGTTCAGAGTTGTTGGATTGAAGTTGCTTGGGGTTTCTATGCTTAGTTAGGAAGTTTGCTAATTTATTCTCCTATCAAGGAAAATATATGGCCGTCTACTTCCCAAACATGATTGACCCTTCACACGCTTTAGCAAGGGATAATGGTAAGATTAAATTGGAAGTCTTTTACCCTCATTGACATGTTTACCACTAATGCTGAGTCATTGTTCTTTGTCAGCTTGTGTACTGTAATGTTGCATGCAAAATAGAGCCCTATGATGAGGGTATTATATTCCACTCTATAGTACTTGCCCATCTAAATCAACTACTATACTTTGTTTGTCACCTCGAATCACTTGCTTTTGACAGCACCCGCTTTAGTGATTGATCGATAATGACCTTGTTTTGATTTACTTGAAAGTATCATTTGTGGCATTCGTTGAGGGGACAAATGATAGGGGCAGGTTCTCGATGACCAAGTAGACCACCATCAAGATCTTGTATAGAAACCAGCTTGTTGTCCACTTGTATCCTCTGAAACTTTAACTTAGCTATAATTTCTCTTAACTTTGAGGTAGAGTTGTAATGATGTCCCAAGTTTTACGGTGCTTAAGATTGGGGGAGTGATTAAGCGTTGCTTGAGCTTCTGAAACGACTTCTAGTACTTCTTTGACTACTCAACTCCACTCGCTCTCTTAAGTGTGTTGAGAATGGGGGCTTAATTCTCTTTGGAATGTGGCTTGCAATGCATTTTTTGGGAGGAAGGTGATTTTTTTGAACAAGTTTTACTTTCCTTGGTTTGGCTTGATGCCTTTCATATAAATAAAAAAACCTAGGAATTTTCCTGATTGGACGGTGAATATATTTTTGTTGGATCTAGATTTTTGTTGAACGACCACTAAATTTCTCCATTTATGGAAGTGTAGGGCTTTGTTTGTGAGTATTTGATATGTGTCTCCCATATTTTTAAAAACAAATGACAAGACATGATAGTAGATAATTCTTTCTTTGGTGCTGAAGCTTCTTTTTTCTTCATTGTTTGTGTATTATGGTTGGTTGATATCTGTGGAATGCATAAAGAAAATTTAGGGTTTAATACATGACTATCGGGTTGACTATGATGCTTATGAAGAACTTCAAATCACTATCCTTCGGCCATGTCGTGCTGAAGTTGGTGTGCTTGATGCAGATTCTCCACTTGTCACGGTTCTTTTTGGCTGTGATGATGTTGGAAATGCAGTTCAAGTACTGTACCTTTGATGAATTTGGCATCCCTAAGCTTGCTGACTTGTTTAGCAATCATTTTGTTTATTTCCTTACATATGTTTCTTTTTTTGGCTTCGAGCCAATGACTCACTTGGATTCTCAGCGGCGGTAGAAGATGTTTATATCTATCTTGGGCAGATTGGATTGATCCTATGTGAAAAACATTGATTTAATTTTAATATTTTTACAAGTTCTTTGTGGCATTTACTTGTTAGGAGCTGAATTACCTAAAACGTTCACATTTGATCTGGCTTAGATGTGTGAGTTGTGCTATTCACTTTGTTAGTTTTGAGGCCATTCTGTTTCTTGGTTGCTGTTTTTAATATATAATTTTTTGTTCTGGTTGTGTATTGCATTAAGCTAATGAAGTGTGGATTAGAAGAGGCCACACCTTAAATTGTGCTATTTCTCATTGAGTTAAGAGCTTGACAGTTGGGTAGTCAGTTGAGATCATCGCTTTGAAAGTATTCAACAGTGTTTGGTTGAAGATGGTGTTATATGTTGATTTAAAATACAAAAATTTGAAGTTAACCTGTTCGTTTTTATCGTATTGGTTGTCTTCTGAAACTATCAGTGTTATGATCCCTCCAGGATCCTCACCTCCTCAGAGAACTTAATTTCAACTGTAAGAGTGAAAAACTTTGTTCATTTGAAGGATTTGAATAGGATAAGAATTTCTCTATTCCTTAAGTTTTTTTTCTCAATCTATCTGCATGAGTTAAAATAAAATTTCTACATCTCTATTAAATATAATTTCTGTATTAATAACAACATTAATTGATCGCTCTATTTCAAAACTTAAAAGTATAGTTTAAATACCAATAACCATTAATATTGAGATAGTTATCTTCAACTTAAGCTCCATATTATTTGCTTATTTATATAAATGGAATGGAAGGTGCAAATTCGTTAATCAATCAAGACAACATTAGATCCTTAGAACAAAACAATGGGCTTCAATATTACCTAGATAAGAACATTATCGAGAAAACCATTGTACTCATATTAAACTATTATCATTCACTGTGATGTATTTGGTTAATGTTGTATTGCAATTAAAAATGGAGTTCTAATTTTATTTTTTGTGGTACAACCGTGAGAGTACTCTGGTTTGGTGGCATTTAATTGAGTGGCTGGTTCTAAAGATCCAGTAACTCTTCTGATCATTGTATATTATTTTTTTAATTAAGTTAGAGCCCTGCCTCAGTTAGTTAAGTACTACGTTCGGACATTGTACTATCGAATTGGGAAGTGATTGTTTCTCATCCTATCAATTTTCAAGAATAAATGTTTGTCGGGGCGACAAAAATTAAAAAAGAAATTTGGGGCATTACATACATACCACCTAATTATTATGTATATACATATCTAACACAAACTTTAATTTTTATTTTTATACCACTCAAAATTTTCATATCACATAAAAAAATACCACTATTTTATTTTAACTTTTAAGAAGAGGAATTCACCTTATCATCTATAGATAAGTGGGCATATATATAAAATTTGAATTTAAGGTGTTAGATAGGTAAATAGATAAGAATTGAGTGTTATGTATGTAATCTCCCAGTAAATTTATGCGTAAAATGTCCTTTATAACATTTGAATTATGTGATGTTTTTGCACTCACTATCAATGTTTTGATGACAGTACTGGCAACTGGATGCTAAAGCCTATTTTAAAGTTTTCATTAAAAGGGAAGCTAAAAAATAGAAATAATTCTGAAAAAGACCTTAATATGAATTTTCCTTTCATCTTTTTTCCAATCAGCAAGTGACAGCTGATGGAGCATGAAAATAAAGAGAAGCAAACTCCAATTGAATTTAGGTGCAGGAAAATAATTCCTGGTGTGGAAAAAAGTACTCATGTATCTCCAGCAGCAGTTAAGAATGTCGAAGCTGTTATGGATGAAGGATCCGGAAATAGCATCGCATCTCCCACTCCCGAAAAATCAGATCGGAAGCTGTCCTGTAAAGGAAAGCAACTACATGATAATTCTCAAGATATCCTATCAGAAACTCTAGTTTCTGAAATAACATCGAAATCCATAGAACTTCCAGAAGGGTATGTTTGAAGACGCTGTCATCCTTATTTTGCTTTTATTCGGTACCTTCAATTTCCTAACTTTTGCCTCCTCGTTTCAGTTTGAAGGCATTGGCCGACCTTTTTGATCGAATGTGCTCATCTGTTAGATTGCTTGGTTTAAGGAAGAGGTTGCCAACTTTTCAAAACATTTGCACTCAAGTGGAGATATTGAGTAAAAGGTGCAGGAAAAAAAAGCATATTTTATTAAGCAGTTCCTGATCATGAAACTGATTTCTTGATCTACTTTTAGGAAGTTCTCGTACGTCCATCTTGCCCAGATGAAATATGTATTTCCTGATGCTATTCAAATAGAGAAGGTACTTATTCATGATGAGAAAACTTTATGCATGAAACCGGACCTAAAAGTCAGCATTTTATTTGATGTAATGGGACGCTCTGACAGTCTATATCAATGGCTTTATGCCATGCCTTTCGTGTGAGATTGTTGGAGCACCTTAACACCAATCGAGTATGTGCTACATTTTCCATTTCTGAAGTGATGAACTGCTAGTTTGAACTTCAATTTAATTTTTTAAAGCATGAGATATTTTATCAAGTGCATCATTTGCTACTGCCTTTTGTGTTGGATTTAGAATTTTCAGGATGCCCTGCTTATTGTTAGAATTCAATAAATAAATGATTTATTGCGTAGAACTTAATAATTCTTATGCAATAGAGGGAATTTCTTGAAAGAATAGAACTGTCTGGATGAAGAGGTCATTGTGTCGTCAGTTCATGCATAGTTGGATACTAAGGCATTCTTATCAATATGTTATTGCTACACATAAGGTTTGTCCGGTGGGACTTTTGGTGTTGAATTCTTAACTATTTAATTATCTATTTATGCTACATTCTTTCATGTTTTAGTTTTTTTTTTTTTTGTAGTATTTGCGAAGTGTGAGATATCAGATTTATTGTAAATGTCTTTCTCCTTTTATCATGCATGCAATAAAAATGCAGTATCCAAAAAGAAAAAAAAAAGGAAAGCTTATGCACAAGCACTACCAAATTTTTAATACTGCCTACCATGGTTTTAGAAACCAGATTGGGCCGATCCTTTGATTGGTTCAACCATGAACCGGTCCTTTGATTAGTTTAGTCCAATTCTAAAATCACTTGCACAATGAACTGGCCAAAACTTATAGGCATCTATAATTGAATTGGGAACCAGTCCAATCTTTGAAAAATCGATTCAATCTAATAGCAATAAATTTATGACCTTTTATTTTTTATTAGATGTCTAGAAATAAAAGATTTATATAAAATTATTTATAAAATAATTAAAATATTATGTCCCAAAACTTTTAATTTTGAATCATATTCAAAATATTCATTGATGAAGTGTTCTGATTTAGATTATTATATATTGAATTAGAAAAAAAATATCATTATTTTTTGAATTAAATCACATTAAAGTAATTTTAATATTTATTATATCATTTGATTAAATTTTGATTGAACCTTGATGATTTCCTTATTTTAACTCAAGATTCGGCTTGATTTTTAAGTCTTTGCTACCTTCATGCTACTAGGAATTTCTAACCCTTTTAAAAAATAACATCATTTTATAGTGTAACGC